CTTATGAAAGGGAAAGCCCACTTCCTTGAGTGGTGTGTCAGCCCACCTCAGTCTGTGGGTTTCTCAAAATAATAACTTTGGCTCTTTACCATACAGATTTGTTGGCCTCTTTGTGACTGTCAAATCGCAGATGTATGACAGCTGTAGACAGTTTCAGCTCCAGCAGCCCGCTTTAAGTCTCAGCCCCTAAGTTTGGTGGAGGGAGGGAGTCCAGATGAAAATGTAAGAAATGTACCTTGAAGAGTTTGAAAACATGTGACCTGCATCTGTCCATTTTCTACATGGGCTCATGAATAAGTCTTAAAATCACTTGTGTGGCTGTTGGAACTGTAGGTTTAAGCATAACAGACATTCTTACACTGGTGATTGTTAAAAAGCCTTCTGTAAAGAAATTTGTTAAAAACATGACTACTGCAGATTCACATTTTAAAGTGGTGGTGGTGACTCTACCTTTTGTCAAGTAATGGGAAGAATTTCAGAAGTGCGTTTTCTTTCCCCACAGCTTCTGAATAAATTTGGCCTCGATAAGATCTACGAAGGCCAAGTTGAAGTCACTGGTGATGAATACAATGTAGAAAGCGTGGATGGCAAGCCTGGTGCTTTTACGTGTTACCTGGATGCAGGTCTTGCCAGAACTACCACTGGAAACAAAGTATTTGGTGCTCTGAAGGGTGCAGTGGATGGTGGTCTGTCCATCCCTCATAGGTAATGTATGTTTGGAAGAATTTCTTTAGGCTTAACCTCAGATGCTTCTGTATGTGACAGTCTGCTTAAACTAAAGTGTTAATAACACTTCTTGTTAATAATTTTGTTCTGACCTGGTAACGATTATGTAGCCTAGGTTCTGGGTTTGTGGGGTTTTTGTCAATTGTTTTTTAATCCACAAGTGCAATTCTGATACTGCTGCTGGGAATCTTAAAACTGCTGAGATGCTGAGAAACTTTTAGACACCGTTGCTTCTACTAAAAGTCAAGTGACTGAATGCACTTAAGTAAATATTCTTGAGAGTTCTGTTAAGTCTTTACCAAATTGTGTGTAGTTATTATTTCACCATAAAAACCTGTGCTTACCAGGTATGTTGCTCCAGTTGTCAGTACAATAGCCTGAGCAGTCCACCTGCATTTAAAATTATCACATTTTTAAGCTGACTGCTGTTTTCTGCTGGCAGCAGCAGAGGAAAGAAAATCCTGAGATCTCTTGTGTGTTTTCCTCCCCTCTCCCATGCTGTCCTATTCTTGACTAACTGTCCAGTTTTTCTGACTTGGCTGCTACGTGATGACACTCGCAATGACTGAACACTCTGTAGTTGGTCCATGGTGTGTGTGTGATGTACTGCAGTGTTTCAAGACGGGACTGATGGCAGCCAAGATGAACTTAAAACTTCTGCTTCTTATTTTTCATTAGAGGGTCCTATCCCTCAGTTACCTGTAGGAGAATCTGATGTATCAGTAATTTGTGTGTGGATCTTAGCCTCTGAATTAGAGCATTTGGCAGTGTCGTGACTGTAACTGCTGTTCCACAGTACCAAACGTTTCCCTGGCTATGACTCAGAGAGCAAAGAATTCAATGCGGAGGTTCACCGCAAGCACATCATGGGCCAAAATGTTGCAGATTATATGCGTTACCTGATGGAGGAGGATGAAGACGCTTACAAGAAACAGTTCTCCCAGTACATAAAGAACAATGTAACACCTGACGGGGTAAGATTTACCTAGCTGATCTTGTGCATTAATAGAGATGCTGGTAAGTCTTGCGTAGGCACTTCTGTAGTAATGCAAGTAAGTTTGATATGTAAAATTCTGTGATTCATGCTGTGTGTTATCTGTGGAAAGAAAATATTTTTTCCTTCATTAAGGGCTGTGTAGTATATCATAGAACTTTCAAAAGTGGGACATTTTTTTCTGCTGTGAAGCTTAACATTCTGCCTATCAAAGCTTATGGGATTGCATCCTGTGCTGGACCACTTCCCCTCCTCCCCAATACAGAAATTAACTTGGAAGTTTCTGTACATGCTATCCACTCAGTCCTTATCCTGCACCACAGCCTGTCATTTCTGCAGCTGTAGCAGTTGCACCTGTGAGCATGTGGTTCTGTGTCAAATCTGTATTAGGATTTGTGTGACCCTAGAGGTAGTTCTGTGTTCCAGGTGAACACAGAATAGCCCAAGCTAGCTGTATTCTTCTAGGAGCTAGCATTTCATGAACCCACATTTTATTTTAGTACTGTTTTAAATTTTAGTGTTTTGTGCAAAATATTAGAGAATATGTAAGAATACAGAGGTGCTTCTTCCATTTTTTCCAAGTATTAAGCTCCTTTCAGATGCTTGTCCTGCTGCCTGGAATATTCTTGCCTGGTTTTCCTAGTAAATGGTCCTGGAGCTTTAAAACATACATTCCTAGAAAGTTTTTCACAGCTGAGGTCAGTGGTCTTAATTAACCACTAGCAAAGGTATTCTTAAAATTTGTGTCATTATGGAGCCAGAATTGTCTTTGGGACAGAGCAGCATTATTGCATCCCTGGGGACAATGCAGGCACTACCTTGGTTCTTGCAAGACTTGTAAGAGCAGCTACAGCTTCACAACATCTGCCTTTTATTAAGCAGCTTTGTAGTGGGTACTGCAGTAGGGTCTGAAAAGTGGTAAGATTAAAGTTCTGTTGCCTGGGTTTGTGCGAAGTATTTTTTTATTAATTGACCATGAAGTGTTTTATTCCAGGTAGAATAACTTTCTGGCTTGCCTTTTAATTGAAATCTAGAGAAGCTGCAGCACTGAAAGCAGGCTTCAGCAACTGCAAGATGCCAGCCTGTAGTTATGAGACTTCTAAGTTCTGTAGGGAACTAAGGCTCTAGAGTAATTAACTGTAAAACAAGGATAAAATTATTTTCTCTGTTAAATGCCTTGAGTTTGGGTTTGGAGATTTAAATTTAACATTGTGACAGAAGGAATTTCTGAATCCTGTGGCAGTTCTTTCCTATATGAAGGAAGTGTTTTAAAGGCAACCATGCCAAATTACAAGCTATATTGTGATGAAACTGGTTTCTATTGCATGCTCAGCTAGGGGTATCTTGGATTTTTGATATCATACAGCTGGACCATTTTGGTGACTTTAAATTTTAATTTCTTTTTTTTTAGATGGAAGAAATGTATAAAAAAGCCCATGCTGCTATACGGGACAATCCAGTCCATGAAAAGAAACCCAAGAGAGAAGTCAAGAAAAAGAGGTAAAACTCTCCTTCTCTTTAACATCCAGGTGACTTCTCAGTTGGGGATATTTTAGTTACAGTAAAACAAGCAATGCAATTCACATACCAGTTGTGTCAAAATCCACACTGTAGATGAGATTAAGATTAAAGCAGTTCTGTATAATTTAGGAGTTAACTTTAGCAGTAGGAATCTGAAATTCAAGAGCTCTTAACTATATTTAATAAAACTTCCAAGTGAAGGATGCGTGTGGCCTGAATAGCTGCAACTCTGAGGTGTGTATCTTCAGGTCTCAGTGTTTTCAGTGGGAAAGCTGCTTCTCTTCAGCTGAGAGCACTACTTTGTCAGTACTAAACTATTTTGATTTTTCAGGGGTGTGGGAGAAAAGAAATCAAGGCGTAGCTATTGCATTGGGCTGATAATGTCTACACTTTAGTCACAAAAGAGTACAGGGTTTACCTCTTGAGAAATCAAACTTCCATCTTTTTGTGGTGCCCTAACTACAGCCTTAAGTCATTGCAAGAAAATAAAACCTGTTACAGAAGTGGGAATACATACATTCCTCCATCACACTCCTAATCACAGTTGTGGTGCACTTCAGGCTTCTTGGCCACCTTTTTGCTTATTTCTGCCTTGACTATATCATACCCTGTGCTTACATTGCAGATGGAACTGTCCCAAGATGTCCCTCGCCCAGAAGAAAGACCGTGTTGCTCAGAAGAAGGCCAGCTTCCTCCGGGCCCAGGAGCGCAGAACTGAGAGTTAAGACAACTTCCACAGTTTTCTGTGACGCTTTGGAAAAAGTGGCAATAAATTTATTGAGGAAGCAACGGTGTAAGACTGGCTTATTTATATAGTTTATAAAAATAAAGGCAATCTTTTTTATTATCTAGATAATCTGTACCTGAAAGGGTTTTTTTTCCCCCTTTCAAAGTACTGTGTGAATTGAACTTTCACTGAGAAGAGAGGTGATAAGACTTCAAAGACCAAGGTTGCTGCATTAGAATTACTCCTGTAAGAAGGGGAAATCAATTTCATTAATCTTTGGCATGGTGAGTATCAAAGACTAGGTACAAGAGTTTGCTGCTTCTAACTAGAAAAAGATTTTAACATTTTAAAAAGGGCTTTACCTCTCCTTCACAATTTTTCTTTCAGTGTAATGTTAGGGGGCAGTCTGGATGTAGCTTAGGAAAAGAACAAGAGTAGTCAAAGTAGGTTCTAAAGCCTCTGCCCACAGGTAACCTTAGGCTTTCAGGCACTTCACAGACTCACCTCCAGGTTCTGGCTGCTACTGAAGCAGATACTGTCTTAAGCTGAATACCTGACATTATTAAATGACTGATAAGAGAATTCACTTCTGAGTTACACATTCATGCTTGGTTACAGAGGCCTTGATAAGGAAACTTCCCTGCCTGACCCCTCCCAGACTCTCTGGCAGCCACGACACCAGAGAGTGTCACTGCTGGGACAGAAGGCCCTTCTTCCCTGGGGACAGCTCCACTGAGCCCACAGGTGCTCCACTTGCCTCCCACCACACCCCCCCTGCAACACCCAGCCACCCCAGGCTTCCCTGAGCAGAGCCCAAGACATCCCATTCCACAAGGCAGTTTATCCTGGCACAGCAACACAACTCGAGATGGCCCCTCCAAGGAGCACCCCCAATCCAAGAACCCCCAGGTCCTACTATCTCAGTTTCACAGGTGCTGCTGTGTCCTATTAGACTTGCTGAAGTTGTTTGCACACAGTCTGTGTGAAGACTGTTTTGCTTTAAGATACTGATTGTTGATGTAAATACTGCTCTTGAAAGGAGGCCTGTGATTTATTGTAAACAAGTGATTTGTTCCAACAAAAGGTTCAACTTGATGCAACAGCAATAAATATGAAGGTTCTGTACAACAAATCACTATTAAAAATGTTTTTCAGTTGTTAACGGCAGGAATCTTTTCTGCCCAAAACCTCCTAGCCATCACTCAGATTTTTTCACCAAGAACATGACCACTTTACACTTGAGTGCATTGCTGGTTACAAATACTTATTAGTTTGTGGTTGTAGCACAGTAGCAAGTTTGAGACAAGAATTAGGATGAGCACAGTATTTCTTAAAAAGCTGCTGTTCACAAAACAGTACCCTCTTAACCCAAGCTGCATATTATCACAGGGTTTGAAGATGTGATGTTATTGTGGCCCTGTACTTCAGTTTAATCATTCAAGGATTGCATTTAAGACAGGATACCTAAAGCAATTAACCTTTCAAATATTTAAATAAAGCTGAGAATGAATTAAGGGGCAGGGATTCAGAAGTAATGTGGATGACTGGCTTTAAAATCATTAAGGTTTGAACAACCTTATACCTAAAGCATCTATGAATTAAACATTAACACACTATCAAGATGTTTTATGGACATCCAATTCTGCAAGATTACGAACACAGATGTAAATCTGAAGAGCAACAAGGGGATGTTAAAGGTGGTAGTGTGGTCATGCTGTCTGGAGTGTCAGGATCAGATGGTGTTTATTTACTCGAGACTTAACAATGACTCATAGATGCTACTAGGAAAAAAAAAACCAGTAACAGTAACACACTGCAGCTCACTTACTTTCCAGCTCTTTCCTAGCTGTTACAATCTCATAGGCTCCAATTTAAGCAATATTCCACGGTCCTGAACAATCCAGCTTCTGTCCTACAGTTCAGGTCTAGCTCTCACATAAATCTCCTTGATGATTGCAAGAAGTAAAAGTCTGTAGCTAAATTTGGAGGGACAGTAAAGAGTCAAGACTGCACAACTATTAACTTGTTTCTCAGGTTACACAGCAGATTCTCACCCTATGCAAGCTTCCTTTTTTTAACTGGTAGGATACTTCTGCTATCAGTATTTTTGAAAATTAACTTCCGTTTCCATATAATAGCTTAGTCCACAAACTCCTTACTTTTCAATATTTGCTACACCTTAATTTAAGTTAAAGATTTCAACTGAAATACAATAATTTACAGGTTTTGAAACAGATGCTGGTATTGCTGCTAGACCACACAGATGATTTTAAAAAATAATATTCTAAAATTCTTGGCCCCCACTCTGGTTCACCATACAGTGACTTAATTAAAAAGTGTTGAACTAGTTAAACATTCAAGATGTAAGCATGAGGTAACAAATGTGTAAACAGAATCTGATTTAAGTCTCATATTACAACCTGTCCATTCTAGAATAAAATTCTAATTTTCCACAGTTAAAAAGTTATTAATGTGCAAATTCTGCCATGCCAAAATATTAGTAAACTTCAGTCTCACAGTTCAGTTTATTCCTAACAGCAGCTTGGACTTGGACACTTTATTTGCAGTAGTGGTGATTCTTAAGAAAACTACTCACGATAAAAATCCTTCGCAGGTATTTCACAAGTGAGCAATGATTTTCACAGAACTGTAAGATGTTCCATCAGCTGATGTGGTGGCACAGTGAATACTTTCATCCTGTTCAAGATCTGACAAAGTGCACAGAACGGTCAAGCATGCAAAGTTTTTGTTTCCATAACACAGCACTGAACACCAGAAGTCCTGGCCTCTGCCCGATCATTCAGTGGCATGTTCATTCTTCGAGAAGCCCTGTCACAAGGTATTTACTGAAGGGCAAGAGTGAAAGAACCATTAATAAAATCTGAGTAAAGAAATATCTTTTTAAAAAGGTGCAGACTGTTTTTATCAAATGTGGCAGACCACCTCTAGTGGCAGGCATCAATACTGCCTTCTGCTGGTGAAGAAGCTAAGAATCATTTGTATGAGAAATTTTCTTCCACAGTAAAGTTTTTAAGTTATTGAGTATTAAAGAATGCTCCATTTCCATCTGATTTGCTGTGACTTTAAGGGCAATACACAAGTACAGTTGTTTTTCTAGTTCTTCATGGATATCAGAAGGAGCACCACGAAGCAGATAGTCTTTAAGTAGCTGACAGGCTTTTGCCAAGTTTGGCTGAATTACTTCTGTGGTACATCTCATTTTGCTTTGGTCACATAGTGTTCTACAGTCTGTACCATAAATGCAGTCCAAATCTGAGTCGCACTGACGATCTTTAATTATTTCCTTCAAGTTCATTTCTGGCACAATTTTTCTCATGTCCATCATTTTCAAATCATATTTATCGTTATATCCCAAGTTTTTGGCACTTGTATCACACATAAGGAAGTTTCCATAAGGTCCATGGAAAATATCTTCCACAAATTCTAAAAGCCCTATAGCTATTTTTGCCTTTCTTGGCCATGATGGAGTGAACCATTGGTCCATGCTTCTTCTGAAGCCAGAGGGAATGAAAAGTTCTATAATCCATGGAAGGCTGATTCCATAGAGAGAGGTATATTCAACTCTTTCCGTCACATAGAGATCCCCACAAAAACCCATCAATTTGGGAGTATGTTCTTTATCCTGGAGGATCACCATTAACAGAAACTCCTCTAGCTGCAGAAGTGCCCACGCAGATTTCGCCTCTGGCAAAGAGACTCTGCCATCTTTGTTTCCATCAGCAAAAGATAGGATGAGATTAACCAGTTCTGAAAGATTTCCTTGTTCACCCAATTTTGCCTAAAAGCAACAAGCAAAAAAGATTAGGCGTGACTTCATTAACTACCACCAATCCATCTGTCATTCTACCTCCTGTTATCTCATATGAATAGCACAGTAGTGTATGTTCTAGTTTCTATTTGCTATGGATGTTACAGGAACTGCTATCAGATGCCTGAAGAGCTTCCTTTTTGTTCTGTTTTCATAGGCACTAAGCATATGATCTTCTGAAAGTATTAGTGTTCTTTGCATTTCAAAATGCAAACATTAAAATTCAAACATTATTCTTGGTCCCATCAGTCTTTAGAAAAATTGTATGAACTAGCTTGTTCAATATTCTCTTAGCAGGAGTATGCAGAATTCAAATGTTTAGATCAGGTTTTGTTTTCAGCTGGTTAAACCTTACAGGTGTAGAGAAATTACATTGTCAACTACATCTTGGCCATCTATAAAAAGTACCAAGACACACTGGGTACAAATCTCTTAAGCTAAGTGTACTGAAATGCTTAATTTTCTTATTTGATATAAGCACCTCAATTGGGTCAATACACAGAAGCCACTGCTGGAATCAGAACTGTTCCATTTTCAACTACCATGAATGCACACACAGGGGCAAACAGGGAGAGACATGGGAGCTATGACAACAGCAAGAGAATTTTAAGAAAGAAAACCCAAAATCAGAATTAATAGAGGATGAAGGTGATTATATTACGAAAATTCTGGGGTAGCATTAAGGCAATAGAAATATTGTCACGGTAATATAACACAGAAAGGATGAGTACGACTGGTCACTCTGGAGACAGATTCCTGCTGCTCAGTTAACACAACATCTCTTCCCAAGCATGAACAATAACCTCAAAAGCACCAAAATTAAATGTTTTTACTGTATTTTCTATACAAATACAAGTCACAGCTGTAAACATGCAAGATGAATGCCAACTTCCATCATTTAAAACGTAAGGAAAAAACCCGAATAATTAGTTACTTCGAACTTCAAGGTAAGCACCTCTGGGAAAAACTAGTTTTGTGCTGATTATTTTTCTAATACACACTTGAACAAGGCTCATACAATAGGGTATTCTCTCCAGCTTCAGGAAAATGAGCCTTTCAGTCAAAATAGAATAAATAAGCATATACTTACTTTAAAAAGACCATATACCATTTCTTTGAATTTCTCAACAGTGGTTCCTCTTGTTGGTTTATCAAATAGGACTATTTCCTTCCTTGGTTCTGGGTCAGTACCAAAATCAAGTTGAGCAGCTTCCTCCATCTGGCATTTTATAACACTTTGCAGATTTCCCCAGATTCCTAAATATATCTATGCAGAAAAAGAGGGAAAAAGCTAAAAAAACACTGTACAAGTTCATCTGCAGACTACCTGTCTTCCAGCCACTGCTTCAGGAGTCAAATGACAACACAGCTCAGCAAACAGCAGTCCTGTGCACAGACAATGCATAGAGCAATCCAAACAGTGGCAGCCTCAAACAGAACTGCTGCAGGTACTTAGGAGACACTACACTGGCAGAACACAGCCTCACAAACAGCATATGGGCACTAATACCACTGGGCACAGGCTGTATGAGGCTGCTGCTTCTATCTGTGAAGCAGGAGAGCAGAGGAGCAGTATGCTGTCCAAAAGTATGCTTGTTCTGTCAAACTGTGGAAGGATCCAGTATATATGTTTCCAGAATACATGTATTATAAAATAATGATATACCCTTCTACATATAGGAATAATCTATACCCTTGTATATAGGTGCATACTGTATATATTAATAGTATGTATTATATCTTCTATATATTTTGTATGTATGTATGTCTGTATATATACACACACACACGCTCTGCATGTCACAGCAAATGAAGTTTGAAATAACCTGTATTAAACAGATACAACTTGCTGACACTGAGGTCTTCTTGATGTTCCAGACAATGACATTTCAGCGGGAAATAATAAAACTAGGTTGGATGAGTAAAGCCTTACCTGGTTGTTGGGCTTTGTTGACAAACATTTTCCAAAATACAACGTTTCTTTAGCACAAAGACTACTACATGCTGACCCATCAATAACTCCAGTCTTGTATTTATCACACTGAAACAAACAGGGAGAAATATATTTAGTAAATTGCCTGAGAAAGGAGGCAACAACTGCATCTCTTCTAACACCTGACTCTAGAAAGAAAAATCTAAGAAAACAATTTTAATAACCCTATACCAAAATAATGTTAAGAGACACAAGTGGTTTTATCTGTAACTAAGCTGTAATCTTACTTCAATATGAGAATTTGATTAAATTACACAGGGCACTGACTGAATTGGCTTGTGGAATTAGTCAAAGGCTTTAGAAAGTTATGCTAAATATACTTACTATTATTTTCCTACAGTCATGTCCTCTGCACAGCTCTGTGTAGGTGGAGTACTGAACATACATAACCCAGCTGCCAATAAACACTACTAACCAAGAGATGAAGAGATACTTCACACGCACGGACGACAAACGTACCTAGAGGACACAAAGAGAAAATATGATTTACAATTCACTGAGCAGCAGTAAACGTGATTTACTATTTCACCTTTAAGGAATTTGACTTCCACAGTGATAAAACAAGCAGACTACGTTACATGGAACACTCACTTCCTTCAGGGAGCAAAACTGACAGGGGAGGTCAGTTTGACCTATGTAAATGGAAGGAAAATTGAGATATAAATAAATAGAAAAAAAGGTGTCAGACCCTTACAGGGCAAGCCAGGCTGCAGGAACCAATTTGATCAAAATCATAAACTACCAGAGCTCAATTACATGCATTTTTCTCTAAGACCAGTTACTTCTGTTCCACTCACGGTAAATCAAATCCAACAGATCAGGACTTTTTTTCAAAACATAATCTGTGTTACTGTGTAAATATGCAAGATACATATATGAAGAACATGGTGGATGTCAGGGTCAGGTTCCACGTGCTGAAGTCTCCCTCTCCTTCCTCGAAATTGCATCATTTAATTATGCAAATAAAATTCCTCTGTACTAGCCTCACCTTCAGTCATCTTTCCCATAAATGTATGCAAGACTTTCCTGTTGTTTCTGTGGCCTCACATTTACAATTTTCACTAGGGACAGAGGAAAAAAGTATTTAAAAATTAAGAACTGAGGGAGAGCTAAGTGTCTTGCTAAGTAGGAGGGATGTTTTGATATTTTTCTTTTTTTTTCCCCTCAGAGTCTGATGTGGTAACAGTTTGATTTTCTTCCATCAGGATTAGAAAATAATTAGAAAGTCAGCTTTAGCAACAGGATATAAAGAAAGTGAATGAGAGCAGCTATGCTGGGTCAGTATGAGATGCATTTCTATGAGTATCCTGATCTTCAGCATTAGCTATAAAAGATGCTCTCACAGACTGAGAATGTATTATATATCCCAAATGTGCTTGCAGTTTCCTCTCAAAGAACTTGCTAAGCCAGATGTGATATTCTATATTTAGTAAATCCTAAATCATTTATCTTTCTTGAACTTACCCAGACTCCCTCAAAAATCCACATAAGCTTTTAGCATCCACAACACCCTTTAGCAATTAATTCCTCAGGTCTACTATCCACTGTACTGAGGACAGGGGCCAGAGTTTATTTTGCTTAAGTCTGATTCATATTAGCTTTGTTTGAGATCCCCTAGTTCATTTACTGGAAGAGAGGAGTTATCAATTTCTGTCCACTCTCTCCCCTTCTGCCATGATTTTGTAAGCTCTGTCACATGCCTCCCTGTCATGTCATCTCGTTTCCAGATCGACAGGTTCTAACTTAGCTGTTCCTCATAGAGAAATTATTCCATGTTTGGAAAGGGTTCTAAGACAAGTAGTAATGATGAGCAGTTTTGCTATCACACCCATAGAACTGCAGTAGACATAAATAAGTCAGTTATTTTTAACTAGAAAGACTGCAATAACTTACTAGTATTTATTAAAATATGACAGACAACCAGCATGCATTACACCCTTTCCTCTTGGGAAGAAATGATCCAACAAAACGCAGTTTCAAAACACCCAGAGGAGATTCCAATCCATACAGCTGGGGTCCTGCCATGGGCCTCAGCCGTTCATCCCTATTCCTTCATGCCTTCATATGCTTGACAATCTTAAAACTACCTAGTTAAAACAACAGAGATACAACTAACTGCTTTTTTTATTCCAGTGATCAATCTTGAGCAGGGAGATCCTTCAAACTTCTTCTTTTACGATATTTTATTGCGAGTGTTGTAAAGACAAATAATTTCTGCTCTTTTCCTCAGAGCCACAAAGATCTTAGCTGGAGCAATATGTAATTTTCTCTAAAGCATGGTATCCACAATAAGGATATACACTGGATGGAGTACAAAAGGAGACCAATAGCAATGCTGTGTGGTTTACAGCACATTTAGAAACAGCTAAAAAAATGTATGAGAAAGCTGGGCACAGAACACTCAAGAAAACAAATCTGACAGCAAGGGACTGGGCAGCATAAAACACCAACCAACCAACAAGAACATATAAAGAACACTACTAAAATCACAGAACTGTAAGCCTTTTATGCAATTTCCTAGTTGAAAAAAAAGACAAAATACCACACCTACATGCTTACAACAGGAAGCATCACAAACTTCCTTGTAAACCACACTAATTGAACAGACCAATGAAAAGCAGTAGAAGTCATCCTACATGTGAATCAGCAGTGAGTGAAACCTTATGGGTTCAATAATAAGGTTCTCACCCCCTAAAGAAGAGAACTGAAATCTTAGTTCCAGCACAGGTGCACTCAGTCTCATCGATTCTTTCTTCCAGATCATTTTCTGTATTTAGTAATTTACAATTTTCATTTTAAATTACTGGTTTTTTCTTTCCAGTACTCATCTCAAACCACTTGTTTAGACAATCTTAGTGCCCCCCTCCTGAACCACACATCCTCTGCCATTCTTTTTCTTCCAATTATTTCCAGCCTATTTTCATCTGACTGTCCAACACTGGCCTTAGTTCCCATCTTCCTCCACTCTCTGTCTTCCATCTCAGGTAAGTTTCCAGCACTACTCGGTGCCCCATCCACTCTTTCAGTTTCTCCAGCACAACTTTCCTCCTTCAGAATCCTTGTCCTGCCCCTGTACCAGATGCGCTCACCATCCACAAGCATCCGTCCTTCTCAGCTCTGGGAAGCCAGCAGAGGTGGTATGGTAAAGTGTTAGGAGAGCGTCTCTCTCCCTGTTCTCACTTCCAGAACCAAAGGAAAACTGTGAGCAGGGTAGATGGATTCTTTCTCTGGTTTAGTTCTTACACCCACACTACACAAAATAAACCAAAACAAACCTAGAGATCCACTGCTCCCCAGATCTCTGGAAGCCCAGGATATCAGCTCAGAGGCAGCCCTCCAGCAGAGGGGTCTGAAACAGTTTTAAACTGAGAGGTGAACCAAAGCAGTAGACCTGGATCAGTTGTGAGCATACAACCAGATTTTTCTCAGTCCACCTACAGAACACAATGGGCTTTTTCTTTGCTCCTTTCATACTTTCTGCTGGTCAAATTACAAATGAATAATTTTAAAGCACTTACAAACAAGAACTGCTGCAGCACAGTCGTGCAGGTTCAATGTCTTCTGTAATATTTTCTCATTTTTTGTTCTTATATTTCAAAAAAATTCATGGTTTGATAAACATCTTTTTTGAATTACTAGGTTTCAACCTAGTAATACTACCAATAAGTGCTCTGTAGTTAGTGCCTGAAATTATCTAACTAGGTGAGTCATTCATCTATTTTTACTTTGGCCTAATGTTTCTGTAACTAAATACAACACGAAACAGAAAGAATTACTTTGCCTTTGCAAAAAGCACCACAAGATGCACAGCAACATCTAAAGAAAAGTACAAAAGGTATTAGTGATTAAAGCATGGTATCTTGATAAAATCAGATCATATTCAATTATTGATAGCTATGCAAAGAAAGCATGTTTAATCATTAGGGGGTTTGTGCACATCTTTTTATCAGGATTGACATCGAGTTGACTAAGCAAGCAACTACCTATTATTTCCACTTCCATGTCCTTGCCCAAATCCTCTGTCAAAGGTTACCAGCACATGGCAGATCAGGTGTCATACTCTGCATCATCATTTGCAGGGAAAAAAATTGTTTTCTCTGGAAATTTCCAGTAGTCAAACAAATAAGGAGCTGGAGAAGCTAAGGTACGGGCACACACTCACTCTGCCACTTGAGCTGTAGGGACAGGGAACTAAGAGGGGCATCTTGGACTACCCAGCCAACTGCACAGCACTCAGCTGGTACCCCCTTACTCAGCAAGTACAATTAAGATGTGCCAGGCTGAAATAAGAATGGCCTCGCTCAAACCAGCCTTAACTTCTTGCCTTTAAATTGTCACAGAGCTAACCTAAAACATTCTATTTTCCATCTAAACGTATGCCACCAGTGTATTGTTGTGAACCTTATCTCAGACAAAGGTTCATCCTGTACTTCGTAAAATAAACCCCAAACACAACCATCACAGAACTCCAGCAACACAACTCTTGAGCATCTAACCTGAAAAGGAGGTATGTTTTTTAAACAGCTTATGGTATTCTATCTAAATTTCAGGCAGGGGTTTGGGGAGGGGGACAGGGGAGAGAAAAAGCTCTAATCAAACAAAAACTCCCACATAAAAAACACCCCCTCTCTCCCCACCCAAGAAAAACCCAACAAAAACCCACTAACCAAACACTAACAAAACTCCCACAACAGGGATGGTGTTCAGAGTTTCAGGTAAGTCCTCTTCCTTCCCACCCAAACTCTCATGGTCTTTCCTCAGCCTAGAGCTGCTGAGATCAAGAAAAAATGGTCTTCCTGAAGCTTCTCACAAAACTTTTCTCTACGAAAGTCTTCTCTTAATAGGATTACTGAAAACCCTAATAAGTTAACTTTCTTCAGTATTTCCCCTACACATAAATAAGACGAATATTCTATGAATCAGGAATTATAGAAAATAAGTGTTAATGATTATCTTTGATTATTTGAAAGATAAGATACAGTGATTTCCTTTAGAGACAGGATTTTGTTGTTTTGGGTTTTTTAAAACTATTTCTAATAACCGTATTATATTGTAGAACATAAAGCACAGAAAACTTCTCAAAAAATCCAGGAAAGATCAAAAGAAATACATCTGACAATTTAGGCAAAGCTGTTTTGTGTATAAAAACTGCTTGGGAACCCAAGCTTCAGGGACAACAAACCCTCTATGTTCCTCATGTTTCTTGCTGAAACCTTCCATGAACCTTTGTAACACTAAACTTTAAACTAATGTGCTATTTAATGCAAATTTGTATTAACTGCATACCATTTAGTACAAACTCAGAGACCAGCAGTGGCCTGCAGGCTTCAGGACCACTGCAGAATATTGACCATATTCATTTATAGAATAATGTATATATGGGTTTATCCAAATTTGTCCTCCTTCTCAGGCAGAAAGCAAATGTGTTTGAGGCAGAAAATCCTTCTCAAATGCCATCTGACTACATCACATACTTGGCAGGAAGTTCCAGAGAAGCAGGGTTTATTTTGAGCTCAGCACTGTGCCAATGCAGCCGCGTAGCTTTTGACTTGCAAAAGCCATCCTGGCAGTTCAGAGCATGGACAACAGCATCCAACTGCTTATGGACAACCACAAGCTTCCACCCTCTGATTCAAATGGAATTACTTTTCTAAGGACTTCCTTATCACATTCAGCAAAAAACTTGCTCATTATTTGGTTTCTTCCCATACGTTCCTCCTCTCCAATTTCTATTTCCTCCCCACAATCAGCCTGTGAGTGTAGACCCAGCCTGTGCACGTGCTGTACTAATGCAGTAGGGACAGGATTTATCGAGCCTGGTTTGGTCACTTGTGGTCCCACAGCGCAGAGGACTCACTACCCATATGCCATGTCTGTGGGACAGACATGTCATATGGGAACACGTTCCTGAGCAAGGAGTCCCACTCTGGTATTTAGGGAGCAACACATACAGAGAGACTTTATTTGAAATTGTGACAAACTGCTAGGAAATTTGTAATAAGAACATATTCAGGGCAACAGGAGGACTGAGAGTTCCAAAAGTATCAAAAAAGGAAGAAGTTGTTCAAACTCAGGAAACAATTTCTCTTTTCAACTCTACTCTTCCATCAAGATGCTTAAATATGAGCCAGGGAACACAAGAATGAGGGAAAGCACTCGTTATGCTTGATGTTTCAGAGTCAACTTCTTCCATCACTTGTATATTCTGCTAAGTCATGTGCATTGAATAATAATTAGACATTCATCCCCTGGAAAACCACTTCTGGCAAAACTCAAGCCTGGATGCACTCCAAAGCATATGGAGAGTAGTGAATCAACATGCAACATAACTTGACAGTTTTTTGGTAAGTGTACTTTTTATTTAAAACACTTTTATGGTTTAAGAGTATGAAAGCATTTCTTTGTTTAGTCGTACAGAGAGCTTAATTCTGCAGAGTATTCCAGATAACTGTAGTGCACTTATCTCCTCCAAATCAGAGCTGTTTACTCCATTTGTTTTAGGAGCAATAGGAAAGGATAGACTGAAAAAAATGTAGGCCAATCATGTCAGAAATTCTGTTTTGTTCTCTGTTCAGGTTGGTTTGTGGATCATGGGATGCATTTCAGGTATGCTGACATGATGTCTCAGAGCATTAGCCCACACTGTCTTGGATGCCATGTAATGGACATGTTCACATCTTTGAAAGCAGAAATGAATTCTTAAGATTATGCCAGTATCTTGAATTATTTTGTATCCTGAGTAACTAAACTGAGTAAACAGAGTTGAGGTATCTTTTGAAATAAAATGGGATATCTCTCCTTAAAAGGTTAAACAAAACAAAAGGGATTAAAATCCTAAAGCAAAGAGATGATACAGGAAATTTCTGTTATGTGGGGCTTTAAACTTGCTTATTCTTTGGCTCTTCAAAGACAGTCTCTTGTACGTTACTGAAGTCCATGGGGCACTTCTAAAGAGTCTGAAAACTTGGTCCAGAATCTCTGGAGGTCAGGAAGTTTCCAAGCATGAAAATGCTCCTTACATGATAATTGTTGTGAGCAACGTTTCAGCTTGTCCCCTGCCTCATGATACAATTGGTAACTACAGCTATTAGAAGGAACTTCAGGTCAATGTCTCCTAAATTTAGGACACTAACCTCTCTTTATAAAACACAAAATCCCAGTGTTAATTACCCAACTGTAAAATCCTATAAATACAATTAGATTACTTTTTTGTGATGTGTAGCAGAATTCAAAAGCTCGTCAGGTTTTAGAGTATTTTTGGGGATTTTTTTGCTATTATTACATTAGCTATGGATCTAGCATTCTGCATAAAAGCTGAAGGACATGTAAATTTGCCACAGACTATCTGTTGCAAACCAACGCATAACATCCTGCTCCTATTACAGCAGGAAAACTAGAACAGGTATGAAATTTTGTCTTGCAGAACCTGATGTTCTGTCAACACATTTCACAACGCAGTTTTCAAAGAGTCTGGAACGCCAGCCATCAAAAGTTGGAATTCACTCACCGATAACCTTCCACTGTGCAAACACCTTCCCCATTGTGCTACTTGAAGTGCTGCACAGAGATACTACACAAATCTTTTCACCTTGCTTGGAGCCCTCAGTGAGTTAAGTCTAACATTTACTTAGAGAGCACTGGCTTCTTTGGAGACAAATCTCCATAAAGCACTCAGCAATTAGTGCAGTTAAACCACGACTGCATTTGTCAAGCACCAACAGTAATGTGCAGTGACAAGAAGAGTCAATATATTGATAGCCTGCTGTCATTCCAGAGATGCATCAAACATCAGCATACATTCACTGTCCAACACAGAAAAATATGTTTATGTTCACAAAACCACTATCAGATCTCTGAAAACGAATCTGTAGAATATTCAAAAGCAGCTTCCAGTATAAGAAAGCACACTCAGAATTTTTTTTTTTTAATCTGCAATAGAAACAAGAATTTAACTTTTTTTATAAGAAGTTAATAAATAATTTTGTTGTCTTCCCGTTTTTCAGTGGACTTTAAAATAACATATTTTGCTTGGAAGGCCTTAAATTAAATTTTGAGAAGAAATGAGAACAATGTTATCAAACAACCCCATATAATGATCAAAGAGAGGTTATCAAGGCAAAGGAGGCAAACAATTTGGAAAACCCTAATTTGAAAGGTAGTGTATAGATTACAAATTCATTTTTATTTGTATTGAAGGCTATCTTCTATAGGAATCCAAATGCTAGACAAGCGTCTAATTCAGTAAATAGATCTACAGTAATCTTTCCCAGCCCAAGTGATACTGACCCAGATTTGCAGATACATACCATAAAACAAATACTGAAGAGGGTAAGATTATACTATATCTGCATGCTTTTCCTTAAATATTATACTCTCTTTTGAGTACTTCCAAAAACAGAGTAAGATTGGAAAAGTTCCAGATGAGAAGAAACTAAGACATTCAAGATTTTAAAATGCATCAAAACAAAGTTTAATTTTTTTTAATCCAATGGTCACAAAGCATATCAACAGATGATGGACACATAAGCAGCATATATAATAAATATAAATATTTCTCTGCTCCAACTTAACAAATACTCGGTTACAGTTTAATTAAAACACAATCCAACCAATAAAAAGGAAACCCAGAGTATACCTATCAAGAAACCACAGGGTCATATCTGACCGACATTTCACAGCAGAACTTCCCACCCCACGACAGACACGGCACTACCAACACAAACATCACTACTCGGGTAACTTAAGCAATGCAAACGTGTACCTGTATACCTAAATACAAAAGTCTGTCTACGAACACACAGATGCATGGAGCAATTACCAACTGGGCAGCAGAAGAAAAGTGCCCGACACTAATTTCTTTAGAACACGTGAAAAAATGAGTCTGCTCATGCAAGCTCTGTTCCCCTGCTGACAGGACGGTGCCCGCGGCACCGGCGATAGGTGTAAAGGCGGGACGTGCAGAGCGCTCCCCGGGCCCGGCGGTGCCGCAGGTGTGGCTGCCCCACGGACCGTCCCCGAGAGCGCGGGGCCAGCGCGGAGCGGCCGCCGTGTAACAGGTCCCGCGGCGCTCGGGGAGGCTGCTCCGCGCACCGCCAAGGCCCGACCCGCCCGGCGGGGGCGGCGAGAGGCACCGCGGTCCCGGGGCCGCCACCACCTGCTCCGGTGCCCCGACACCCGCCCCGGCCCCGGAGCCGCCACCGCCCGCCGGCCGAGCCCCGGCCGCCGGCAGGCGAAGGCGGGAGGAGATGGCGGCCGCGCCGGGGCGGGGGAGCGGCGAGAGCCCTGCGGGGGCGCCCGCTCCGGAGGGATCTTGGCGGGGAGGGACGGGCGCCGCCACCGGCCCCTCGCCGGCCTACCTGCGCGGAGTGGGGCTTCCTCAGCCAGGCCCCCGGGAAGAGCCGCCTCGCCATGGCAATCACACATCCCCGCAGCGGGCGGCGGTCGGAGGCGGAGCGGCGAGGAGCGCTCCCGCCTGCCGCTGCAGCCGCGCCGCCGGCTCCGCGGGGCTCGGCCTCGGCACGGCGAGGGAAGCGCCGCCTCGGGCACCGGGGGCGCCGAGAGACAGCGGCTGTCAGCGGGCAGGGCAGGCGGGCGGGCGGCTGCCGCCTCAGCCGCCGCACAGCCCGCTCCCGCCGCTGATCGAAGGAGCCGAACGCAGCAGCTGCGAGGGGGCGAGGCGAGGCGGAGGGGGCGAGGCGCGGGAGCTCCCTCCCCGCCGCTCGGCGCCTTGCCCGTGCCCGCCCCGAGCCTCCGGGGCTGTCCCGGCCCGTCTTCCCGCGCCAGGGCCGTGCGGGGCTCCTGGAGCCCACAGCCACCCCCGGGTTCCGCTCCTGTCTGCCAGAAGGCGCTCGGGCGCTGTCTGGGGACAGTTATGGAGAAGAGTGTATAGATTACAAATTCATTTTTATTTGTATTGAAGGCTATCTTCTATAGGAATCCAAATGCTAGACAAGCGTCTAATTCAGTAAATAGATCTACAGTAATCTTTCCCAGCCCAAGTGATACTGACCCAGATTTGCAGATACATACCATAAAACAAATACTGAAGAGGGTAAGATTATACTATATCTGCATGCTTTTCCTTAAATATTATACTCTCTTTTGAGTACTTCCAAAAACAGAGTAAGATTGGAAAAGTTCCAGATGAGAAGAAACTAAGACATTCAAGATTTTAAAATGCATCAAAACAAAGTTTAATTTTTTTAATCCAATGGTCACAAAGCATATCAACAGATGATGGACACATAAGCAGCATATATAATAAATATAAATATTTCTCTGCTCCAACTTAACAAATACTCGGTTACAGTTTAATTAAAACACAATCCAACCAATAAAAAGGAAACCCAGAGTATACCTATCAAGAAACCACAGGGTCATATCTGACCGACATTTCACAGCAGAACTTCCCACCCCACGACAGACACGGCACTACCAACACAAACATCACTACTCGGGTAACTTAAGCAATGCAAACGTGTACCTGTATACCTAAATACAAAAGTCTGTCTACGAACACACAGATGCATGGAGCAATTACCAACTGGGCAGCAGAAGAAAAGTGCCCGACACTAATTTCTTTAGAACACGTGAAAAAATGAGTCTGCTCATGCAAGCTCTGTTCCCCCCGCTGACAGGACGGGTGCCCGCGGCACCGGCGATAGGTGTAAAGGCGGGACGTGCAGAGCGCTCCCCGGGCCCGGCGGTGCCGCAGGTGTGGCTGCCCCACGGACGGTCCCCGAGAGCGCGGGGCCAGCGCGGACCGGCCGCCGTGTAACAGGTCCCGCGGCGCTCGGGGAGGCTGCTCCGCGCACCGCCAAGGCCCGACCCGCCCGGCGGGGGCGGCGAGAGGCACCGCGGTCCCGGGGCCGCCACCACCTGCTCCGGTGCCCCGACACCCGCCCCGGACCCGGAGCCGCCACCGCCCGCCGGCCGAGCCCCGGCCGCCGGCAGGCGAAGGCGGGAGGGAGCGGCGGCCGCGCCGGGGCGGGGGGAGCGGCGAGAGCCCTGCGGGGGGCGCCCGCTCCGGAGGGATCTTGGCGGGGAGGGACGGGCGCCGCCACCGGCCCCTCGCCGGCCTACCTGCGCGGAGTGGGGCTTCCTCAGCCAGGCCCCCGGGAAGAGCCGCCTCGCCATGGCAATCACACATCCCCGCAGCGGGCGGCGGTCGGAGGCGGAGCGGCGAGGAGCGCTCCCCCGCCTGCCGCTGCAGCCGCGCCGCCGGCTCCGCGGGGCTCGGCCTCGGCACGGCGAGGGAAGCGCCGCCTCGGGCACCGGGGGCGCCGAGAGACAGCGGCTGTCAGCGGGCAGGGCAGGCGGGCGGGCGGCTGCCGCCTCAGCCGCCGCACAGCCCGCTCCCGCCGCTGATCGAAGGAGCCGAACGCAGCAGCTGCGAGGGGGCGAGGCGAGGCGGAGGGGGCGAGGCGCGGGGAGCTCCCTCCCCGCCGCTCGGCGCCTTGCCCGTGCCCGCCCCGAGCCTCCGGGGCTGTCCCGGCCCGTCTTCCCGCGCCAGGGCCGTGCGGGGCTCCTGGAGCCCACAGCCACCCCCGGGTTCCGCTCCTGTCTGCCAGAAGGCGCTCGGACGCTGTCTGGGGACAGTTATGGAGAAGTCAGTTAATAAATAACGTGTGTCGTTGATTGCGAACAGGCTCCTGTCATTTACTGGGCAGGGTATTAAAAACAGCTGCAGGCTTGTTACAGCCTTTAAAAAAAAAAAAAAAAAAAAAAAAAAGAGGATTATTTCCTTCAAAATAAGGAAGGAGCGTTTGCCTGGGCCTATGTTAACACATAGCAGGGAATTCTTTACTGTGAGGGTGGTGAGGTGGAGAACAGGTAGTTCAGGGAATTTGTGGTTGCCCCATCCCTGGAAGTGTCCAAGGCCAGGTTGGATGGGGCTCTGAGCGACCTGGTCTAGTGGATGGTGTCCCTGCCACAGCAGGGGGTTTGGAACTAGATTATCTGTAATTATCTGGGTCCCTTTCAGCTCAAGCCATTCTATGATTCTACATTAGTGCCATAAAGTGGTTAAGAAGTTACTAATTTCTTCTTCACCAGAGGATCTCTCAACACTTCGTGCACTGTGGGAAGTCTCAGTCCAATTGAAATTTATGGGAACACTCTTAATCTCAAATAAAATAGCCCTTTCTTATGTGAAGTTTGATTTTTGTCAAGCTGCCTTGTGTTTATGACTTGATTGTGACTCCTTTTAGCAGAGGGTCTATGGGGCCTAAAGGGCCTATGGAGTCCTTGAGGCCCATGAGGCTTGGGTGGCTTATGGGGAGTCAAAGTCAGAAGCTGAGAGTCTCCAGTTCTGATATTTTTTGTCTATGAGACTTCGGGCACAAAGATTATGCCACGGTGTGGGCATAAAAATGAGATGAACATAGCACATTATGGCTTTGGGTGTTCAGTGCAGAAGGCAGCTTTGATGAAAAGATAGTTCACAAAAATACTACTGTAAGGATAAGCTCCCATTTTTTGGCAGGACTTACTATTAAAGAAAGATATGTCTGTGGCTGGTTTTTGAATAATATAATCACTACCAGAGTCACCCTGAAGTATAAATCTGAAAATTAATTAGTAAGATTTGGCACTCCTGTAAAAGCAATCCTGGTTTTAATAACAGCTAGTGGCTCTCATGGTAGGGGGGTTTTCTTCTCTTCCTCTTCAGCAGACCCAGATGGCTGCACTTTCTGCATCACCTCCTGCTACAGTTCAGTGGTTTGCACGAGTTTAGCTTGATTATGGACATGAAATGGAACAGCTACACAAGAGGATGCCACAGAGCAAACATTTTAACATTTTGCTGAATAATTGCAAGCCCTTACTTCATCCAGAGCTCTATGCCAACCCTTGGAATGACAGGCTGGGAATAATTGTGAAATGTGGGTCTCCCATATGGCTGGCAAGGATCTAAATGTCTCATTCCTGTTACATCTAGATCCAAACAGTTCCTGGCATATGTTCATTAGGGGATATATATTTTTCTCTTAGTACATGAGATCTTCATCATTTGTGAGGTGCTTTATTCCAGCACTGAAGTACTCTTTGTGCCCAGGCTTTGCCAAATGCTAAAAAATGAGGCTATTTCAGCCTTTTTGAGTTACCTGTTAAATTCCCAGTTAAGCCTCAGTAGAGGTAACTCCCATAAAAAGCTAAGGCCATGTAAAGCAGAACAGTAAGAGAAAAATTCTAACATGCACTGACTTGGCATTCGCTGGTTTTGCAAAACCAGAGAAATATTCTAAAACTGGGGAGCAGATGCAGAAAAACCACACAGATAGAATATAAGTCATATTGACGTATTATTTATTTATTGTGCAGCCTTTCAATTCTGCAGTTGACACATTATCCATTTTTGTATGCCAGTGCCAAAATTCTGGTATATCTTAATGCCCAAGCAGTGGACATTATGCTGCTTTATTGCTACCTATTAATATTTAAGTTTCCTATCCAGCTATAACTGAACACTGAATGTTGTTATTGCAGTGATGTAGGGTTTGTGTATAAGGTAGAAATCAACTGCTAATTATACAAGGGCAGCGTTTGTCACTCACAGTGTCAAAAGGTAAATGTGGTTTTGTAATACCTCCTTACATTTATCTGCAGTTCTGTGACAACTTGGAGCCTATTACACATTAAGAACAACTCAGAAAAATCAAAGAATGGTTGCAGATGCTGAAGTCTCCAGGAATTCTGGACATACAAGAAATGAAAATATGAGACAAATGAGAATATTGAAAAACTACAGAGAGGAATCTGATTTCTTCAGGATAGTACAACATGCACCTTTCAAAAAGAATAAAGAATTTTTTCTAAATTCTTTTGAAGAAAAGTTTCTTTTACTTGAGCAAGTAATACACATTTTAACATAA